ATTGGAGATAAGAGTCTCATGGACTTTCCTGCCTGGGATGGCTTTGAACTGTTATCCTCATATTACAGGAGTGAGCCACCGGCACCCACCCAGCTTGTCTGAACTTTTTGAAGTAACATAACTGATGACTATTTACACTGAAGTGTGTCTCTGAAAAGTTTATCTAGAAATTAAGATGTCAGAAATGAACGCGCCAAAGCAATCTCTTCATTGCTATAATTGATCATACTATAATTGATTATAGTATTTCAGTCTTAAGTTCTCTCTAAAGGCTGGAACTTGTAACTAAATTGCTTTTCTTCCACTAGCCTCTAACAATGAGAACAAGTCAAGCCAATTAGATGGCATTAACAGTTGGGATTTTTTTTATTGAGGTGAAGTTGTTTGAAGTAGGACATTAGATTCAACATCAGTAATAAGAGTTGTCTTGAACGTGTAGTAATATTTTGTTGCCCTTTTTTTTTTCATTACAGTGAAAGAGGAGGCCATGTCTCAAAGCCAGTTTACTTACCTAGCACTTAATTTAGTAGTTACTGAGTTTAATATCCTTTTAATATACTCATTAATTTTCTTAAGTAAATTCTTGGAAAATTTGAAAATTTCCAAAAATAAAGTATTCAGTATCTTGTGATCTTACTATATAGAGATAAATGCAGTTCAATGTTTGGTGCATTTTCTTTTTTTAATGTATAAATATTAAACTTATTTCATAGTTGAGATCATATTGCATATATGGTACTGTATCTTGCCTTTTTCATTTTAACATGAGCATTTTTTTCTCCCATGGCTTTAAAAACTGTCTTTGAAAAATGGAAAGCATTTTGGGCTGTCAGCATTAACTGAAAATGTTTTCTTGGTGTGACACATGTATCTTTGTAATTGGTTTGATTTATTTAGTGTGCTTTACTTCAATAAAAATTCAGTATTTCACTGTACAGCTTGGGGGGTGGGGAGTGGTATCTACTTCACATTACCACTGTCTTCCTAGTAGAGTTGTTTTTAAGCTTGAGCTCCCTGCACGTGTAAAACACGACATCCACACCACAGTACTTGTCTGCCCTGTGTGCACATTTGAATAGTGAGTACACTTCATTCCAAGGAGTGGAAATGCCAGGTTAGGGCTTCCAGGCAGGGTGGTACCCACTTTGTTCCAGCTTTGGGGATTTCAGATCCTGAGCCTGTGCTGGTAGGTCTCCAGTACCTGTTCCCTTCCACCGGGCGGAAGCCCCTCTGGCCACTGCAGTGGACCAGTGCAGTGAGATTGATTGGGTGGGCATTCAGTCCTTCTCTGCCTGTGTGTGACCTGTGTGCTAGAGGATGAATTACATGTAATTGACTTTGCGAACAGCATTTTATGACCCTAAGCATGAATTTGGTATGACAATAATAGCTGTGCTACTTTTAATAATTGCCATGTAACTTGGATTCCTATAATCTGGACTGTTAAGTTTGTTTTAGCTCCATTGAAAGTTTTCAGAGTATGATTAAGTCATCCTAATATTTTTCCTACTCCTGCACTAATCATTTTAAATGAATACAAAAGCTTTTAAGACTGAGTTTTATTTATCTTGTATTAAGCAATTGAGACCTTTCTGTCTAATGCTACTTGTTCTGCTTGCTTTTTGTCAATTGATATTCCCATAGCCATTTTGAAAAAGTGTGTTTTTAGTAGAAATTAAGTTGTATGCCCTCAGGACGTACAACTTAGTTTTTTTTTGTTCTGAAGCATGTTTAGATTTTTTTGTATTTGTATAGGCCTGTGTTCATGTGGCTTAGCTAATAAGGTTTCCTAAAGCAACTTCCAGTAGTTGTCATTGGTTTATAAAATAAAATTTGGGCTGTTTAAAATGCATATTTTTTTTGGTTGTTAATCTTCAATTTTTTTTGTTTTGATACTTGTGAAAACTTTTGGGGGACTATTAGTGAGTCAAACTTTGAAAAGATTTTCACTACTGAGAGTAGGTTATGTGATTTTATTTGAGTTGTTAAACCCTAAGTCACAACCCATTAGAGAAAAAGATTTTCCAGGAATAACAGCATTTTTCAAATTGGCCAAAAGATGTTTAATGTATATTTTCTTTTTATTGGAGAAGTTGAAACAAGAAACATTTGCTTGAAGTGAGTAGTCCCCTTCTGATGTAATGTTTTGATGAGGCTTTGGTATTTGTTTACTGCCATGGGACCCTAGGGACTCACCATTAACAATGGGTGGTTGTGTTGAATTCTTCCTGTAGTTTCAGATGATAAAAGGGGATCCTGAATGTAATAACTGAAGTAGCTCATTTTATTGCCAAGTTCTCCAATGTAATAGTTACCTCAGAATCTTTTGCATTATGGAGCAAATAATAAAAAGGGTGTATGAAAATATTGGATACCTTCTAGTAGTATATTGTGAGATTGGGGGAAAGGAACAGACAGACAGCTCTCTCCCTGAAGAGTTTGTCAAGAGTGTAGAACTGGGGGGAAAAAACCCCAACAATTTGCGAGTAATTGTAAGTGTGACATTTGGTTGACTGACAAACTTGATTTTAGTTTAGTGAGCAGCCAGTAGCCTGCATTTATTTGCTTATTTGTTGAAGTCAGCAGCTAACTGAGTTTTTATTTCAGTGTATTTCAAATTGTGGGATAGGATTTTAACATATTCTTCTGCAGTATTCAGTGTTACTATGTTAGTTCACTAACCAGAGATGAAAAGACTGCTTAGAGGAACAAGAGATGATTTTCTTAGCCCCTTTTACCTTCTGTGTGTGTGTGCATGTGCCTGCGTGCGTGTGTGGTGGCTGGAATTTCCTTTTTATTTTTTTGAAGTGAGCTTGTAGGTTGGGATGAGGAAGGTACAGTTCCCCTTTGAAGATGTTATTTGAAGAAGCAGGCAGTCAGAACTAATGTGTGGGCCTTTGAGCATAGGAAAGAGGTTGCTTCTGTGGTCCAGATCTGGAAAACAGCTGCCCACAGGCACGGCTAAGGGCTGGGGTAGCTCACCCTGGTGACACCTGACTGGTAGGCGGAAGGGAAATGCACAGAGGGGAAGGAAGCAGCTGGCAGGCTGGAGAACAGGAAGGAGTGGGAAGTTTTGAGTCAGGAGAGAAGAGGCAACAAGTGCCTGGGAAAAAGAGGAGGGACAGGTTAGGAGAAGCAGGGAAGTTGCTGGAGGAGCTTGCAGGCCTTGGGTATTGGCCTGAGTAAAAGAATGCCAGTTACTGATGCTGGTGAGATGCTGGCGCTGCATGATTCATTCTTAGGGTGAAACAGGAAGGAAGAGCTACTTATGGATCAGAGAGATGCAGCTGCTTGTCCTAGCCCCAGGCTGCTGCCACTTTGCCTAAAGCAATTGAGGCTTTAAGCGGAGGTGGTGTATACACACAGTGAAGTTGGTCTCAGCTCTTGCCTTTTGACCTTGGGTATAACTTTTTTTTGCTAGTCCTCCAAATGTTAGTATCTTTACCTTTAAAAAAAATAGGTGATGGTCTTTTAGAGGTAGTAGAGGAAGGGACATGTAATTTTCTGAGATCATCAGTGGGAAGAGGGGGTGCATTTTCTAGGGAAGGCCGGGGGGGGGGACTGGTTGGGTGAGTGCAGAAAGGAGAAGTAGAAGCTGCCTGGAGGAAGGACAGCAGTGGGAATTGGTTGAGGCCATGGAGGGGAACATTGTTCCAGAATATTTTAGAGTGAGAACATTTTAGAGTGAGAACTAGTATAGGGGGCAGAGATTATTTTGTGTGTGTGTATGTGTGTACACGCTTGTGCGTGTGTGTGTGTGCGCACGTGCGTGCAGGTGCACGCACACACTGACTTTGGGGCCTGAGCTGTTGTGCCAAAGGCTGGTGCCAGAGCCCCAGTTCTAGCTTTTGTTGATTAATTGAAAATAAGATTTACATGGACTTTTCCTGCCTGGGCTTGCTCCCAACCGTGATCTTCAGATCTCAGCCCCCTGAGAAGCTAGGATTAAGAGCTACTAGCACCTGTTCAGAGATTTTTTCCTTTCAGTTTCATTTTTAAGTTTAAGCCACATTATAGTTCAAAATTAGAGCAAATGGGCTTCTACCAAAACAAGCCATTAAGCTTATATTAAAATCTCAGGTACAGGCCCTAGTCTTCAAACATGTGTTAATAATCATTGTAAATTTAGTCGTAACAAAGTCTCTAGGTGAGGTTGGAGTAATCCAATGAAAAAGTCATAGGTGGAGAGTCCACAGGCCAATTTAGGCTTCCAAAATTCAACACTATTACGATCTTTGTGGTCTGACCTGACTCAGGCCTTGCACACAGAGTTTGATCTTGATCATTCAGTGTTGGAATATAAGTTTGCTCCTTAACTGTTTAAGATTCTAAGGAATGAGTGTTCCACAGTTAGTACTGGGCCTGTTGTGGGTTTCAGGACTTAATAACAAAGCAAAATTCCTTACCCAACTCTGCCTTCCTGACTTGGGGTGTCCTAAGGGTATCAGATAATGTTCACACCTGGGAGTGATGATGATATGCCATCTGCCCAGGGCTTGGTATTCAAATGTCCTGACATTTTCAGCTTGGCAGCGTGGGCATCTTGCCTAGGGGGCTTGTGGGACCACTTGGGCCTGGTAATGATTTCTTGCTGCCTCCATTTATTTATATTACATGTAGACGTGATCCACGGATTGTGAAATGAAATGATCATGATCCAGTGATCATGAAATCACCATGAAATGGTGATTGGATAACCAGATGTTCTGATTAGAGCAAGCACTTCCCATCCTCATCTGAAAGTCACATAATAAGGGAGAATTTCATGATGGATATGACACATAGTAGGCTTTCTGTAACTGCTGTCAATATCACACCTATTGGTAGTATTGCCAAGGTCAAAGCTAGCTGATGAGTTCTTCCAGAATAAAATGGTGACTCCTTACCAAGATAACCAGCAGACATCGTTGACACTGACAACATGAAAGAAAAATAAAGTGGGTTGCTTTCGTAAGGGTCAAATAATTGAGCAACTCTAAAACCTCTTTTCTTCTTCCTAGGTCTTAGTGGTGCAATGGCTAGTATAAGCGTGCGTTCGAGTACCCCAGGCTCTCCTACACATGTAAGCAGTGGATCGAATGCTAGTCGAAGGAGAAATGGACTCCATGATGTCGATTTGAACACTTTCATATCAGAAGAAATGGCACTCCACTTGGACAATGGTGGAACTAGAAAGCGTACCTCAGCCCAGTGTGGCGATGTCATTACAGACTCACCAACCCATAAACGCAACAGAATGATCTAAACCGCAAACATTTTCACACCCACCATGCTGCTTGAGAGCCACTTGATCCTCAACATATACTATTATTGCAAAGGAAACATGAGGCCATCTTCCCTTGTTCACTGTTTAAGACAAGTGAATTCTATAGTGGTTGCCATAAAAGGAAGGTCTAGGTATTTACAGTAGATGCCTCTTGTAACTATGGCTTTCTCTCAAAACTATAACCCTAGCAGAGGACATCAGATATTGTATAGTCATTAGCAAGATCATCATAGATAGGCAAACATATCCGTTCCAAGGCTAAAAGTGACCTTAACTGTATTTATTCTCAAAGGGAAAGGAAATATCAGATGTTTATTTGGTTATAGAATGCTTTTTTTTTTCCCTCGTATCTTCCTTTTCTCCTTTTTTGGGGGTCCATTTCCTGCTGTGTTAATTTTGTTTCAACAGTATTGCCAGGTTCTTATAATTGTCTAAAAACATGATTTGGCTTCCTCGTCAAATCCACAGGCTTCCATTTTTGCAACCGGCACTGTACCATGCACCTGGTTTTTAGTTAGTTTTTTTTTTTTCTTCCAGTTTCTAATTCTGGTAATTGTGTGATGTAAAGAGGTGCTATGATGGTCATGCAATTAATACTTAATACTGAATCAATATACAGAACTCTATTGGATTCACTTTGTGTGTCTTAGTGCTCTAAAAATAGCAATATGATTAAACTGCCCCAGATTAACCCTATAGGCTTCAAATACTCAGTTTTCAGACAAGTACTACTTCCTGTGGGGGCTTTTTTCCCTAGGGTAAATGGAAACTGTCTAGACTGCATTCGAGGGGACGTGAAAGAGGGCATGACCTTTGAGAGTGGGCTTCCTTTTTGGTTCAGTGTTGGCTGGTGGGAGATGGATAGTGGGGCTCGCTATTCTAATCTTGCCTGTCCTGTTTTCAGTTTTCATGGATGCCCCACTGTTCAGTTTCCATTGTAGTGGGTGAAAGATGACAGAGCTCTTGTTTTACCAACTACTAATGTGATCACAACTTACTCTACCTTGTCCCTCCTCTCCTCAGAAGTACAGTTTGGAATCTCATCCTGGAAAACGATGGAATCGCATGGAGGTTCTCTAGACATTAGTTAGATCTCAATAAAAGTGCTCATTAGAGTCCTCTTTGGGTAAATGTAAGACCTCTTGTAGCTACAGCGTTTTAGAGCATGCTTCATCTTCATTTTTACTATCTTGACTTGAATGATAGTCTTTTTTTAGATGAAGAACTGATGTCAGCCTGCCAGGTACTGTAATTTATTCTATCCTATTATTATATTATATATCAAGTTAGGACAGTGAAAAAAATGTTTCCTTGCAGACTTAGTCCAGTATCAGTTACTTCCTGTTCCTTAAATGACCATTGCAAATCAGTGTAAGGGTTTTTCAAGTAATTACTCACAGCACTTTGTTAAAAGTTTGCAATTTTTTCAGCCATTTAATAATACCTTTCTGTGAAGAAACTTTGCTAAGTTAACCATTATTGATTGGGTGGGATGTGAGTGGAATGTTAGAAATGTGGTGTGAATTGAAGTTCTATATTATTAGATATAGCCCTTATTTAAAACAGTGAAACTCAGACTCAAACTAGGAATGAAAGTGAGGTATTCCACGATTTATTTTTTTTTCAAAAGTGGATCATTTTTTTGGGTTTGTTTGAGTATAATAGCAGGAAGAATTATAGCAATCTGTCATTTTACCTGAAACGGACAAGCCTATGTATTTTCAAGTTTCCCTTTGGAATATTCAGAAAGACATTTTGAGTTATCTTTGCTTTTTTGTCTTTGTGCATTTAGTCTGGATTTGGGTTTCGGCAGTGTGAGGTGTTGCCCCTGAGAGGCCAGAGCTCCGGTTCTGAAGGGTTTTGAGATAATCCCCCACATCTTGGTTCTATTTCCTCTCTCCAAGTTGAATAACAATATTTTTGGTTGTTTTGTTTAAGTTGGTGCTCTGACGCTTAATCTTAGGGCCCTTTACTCTCAGTTGTCAAATTTTGATAAAACATGTGCCATTTTCTTTGGTAAGAGAAAGCAGGTCTTAATGTCTGCCAGAACACAGTTTATATGCCCATTGGCTCCATTAAACTTTTTAAAAACTTTAGCATCCGTTACTTTTTTCCACTGCATTAATACCAAATGCTTCTTGTCATCTCATTGTCCGCTTCCCTCCGGTCTCTGACCCCACTGCACGGAACAGCCCTGCGGGCTTCCTGGTCACAAAGGGAAATGATTTCTAATTTTGGAGAATTTTAGTCTTGACAGCTTAGTTCAAAATTTTGTGCCTGTTTAAATGCAAAACAAATCATGAAAGATTGCACAATTGTTTGGTACTTTGAAAAAAAAATAACATTTTCTTTTCAGCCTTTTTTTCCTTTTTGAGACAGGGTTTTGCTATGTAGCCCCTGCTGGCCTCGACCTCTTACTCCTCCTCCTGCCTCAGTCTCTGGGATGCTGGGTGTAGAGAACAGAACAGGCTCATTTCACGCCTGGAGGTTTGTGTGGGGAACGCTTCCTTCGTGAAGGGGCGGGTCTAATTCTTAGTTCAGCTCCTGTTGCCCTACTTCACACCCTGATCTGTTCGCGTCTGCACTGCAGCGTTCTGAGCGTGGCTAATACTAAAGAACTTTATTATGATGTTTAGTATTTTGCACAGCAAAAGTAATGGAAAGCATTTGGCTAAACCTAAAGACCTGCAAGACAGCTTACTTCTTCAATGTGATTTACCCAACTGGAATAGTGACACACATCTTTTAAATCATAAAGTGAATAAATCATTGAAGATAACAATCCTGGGGTCGTCTGCAGTTTTGTTTTGGACACCAACACATGAGCAATTTATGGATAGAATCAAATGAACTTCCACCCTTTCTGAGGGGCAGTTGGGAGGCAGTAACTGGAGTGCTTGTGGCTGTAGGCCTTAAGATTTTTGCTCAGCAGAGAACTCAGTTAAGTTTTTAAAAAGAATCATTAAGTTGCTAACATGATTAACCTCTTTTTTTGGGGGGGGGGCCCGGTCGTGTGGCCTGAACTCTGGGCCTGGCCACTGTCCCTCAGCTCTTCAGCTCAAGGCTTGCGCTCTACCACTTGAGCCACAGAGCCACTTCTAGCTTTTTTCTTTTTGCTTATGTGGTGCTGAGGAATTGAACCCAGGGCCTCATGCATGCAAGGCAAGCACTGAGCCACCTTCTCAGCCCCGATTTCTAACCTCTTACAGGTGTGTGTGTTGGGGTTTGAACTCAGGATTTCACTTTCTTGCTTGGCTTTTTTTTTCCCCTTAAGGCTGGAGTTTTACCACATGAGTTCCACACAGCTCCACTTCCGTTTTTTTGGTGGTGAAAAGGTAAGTCTCATGGACTTTTACTATTGTGGAGCTGTGGTTCAAAGTGATAGAGCACTAGCCTTGAGCAAAAGTAGCTCAAGGACAGCATCTGGTCCCTGAGTTCAAGCTCCATGACCACCCTTCTCCCCCCCCCCCCCCCCCCCCAGTCAGAGTAAGTGTCTGGATATGCAACTAATTGTTGGGTCATCATCTGTCCATGGAGCCAGCCCTGAGAATTCTGGGATGTGGTTGTTTCCACCCTCTCCTCCCCCCAGCGTACTGTTGATTTGATTGTGCCCTTGTAAAACTGACACATTCATTTTGGGGAAGAAAATTTAAAATTTCAGACATTAAAGGATCTTGATTTCCCCAAAGGTAAAACGCTGAATAGGTGTGAGCCGCAACCTCGTAAATAGTTGTTTGTATATTTACTAGTCTTTCATGTATGCCGCCACGGAAGTAGGTTGGCTGGTTGGCGGTGATGGTAGAAGTTAGTGGTCGGTGAAGCACATTAGTGATGTGTGCACCCTCACCCGGGGGCAGCTGGCGCGATGAGCCCGCGGGTTCTCAGGCTGAGTGCTTCCACGTGTGAGTGGTCTGAAGTTGATCACCTGCCAAGGAGATGCCCCGCCGGGCACGGCTCCACTGCCTCACTTCCTGCCTCTGACCTGAGTGGAGAAGGCGCCAGGCACTGGTGCAGCCACATGGCAGGGCTGTGGCTTCCCTGTGCCACAGGTCCCGGGGGTTCCAGTCCCTCCTGGGATGAGCTTTCCTTCAGGAGTCCGGAGCTGTGCTGGGTGTCAGCCATGAAGAGGGCTGTTCTGGCTCCGCCTGGCAATCTACAGCTTGAGGGGTACCTGGTGTCCAGCGGCCTCGGTGTCTGCTTGTGGGCTCAGTGCAGACGCCTCCATAAATCTGCCAAGGCGTCTACTAGTGCACCTGACCTCAGGAAAGATTCAGACAACTATTCTCTGATCCTTACGGATGGTGTTGTGGACCCCGGCCCCCTGCCGTGAACCTCAAGATGACAGCAGTCATGTAGATTTCAGGGTGAATTTGGTGGCCACCAAGAGGTTGATCTGCTCAGCCTCTTGGGTTAAGATCAATGGTTGAAGTGTTTTGACCACCCCTCTACCCCCAGTTCCACTGGGGTCTGTGTGAAAGCTTGCCTCCTGCCTGTGTCTACAGTAAAACACTCTCCCACCATTGGGGGGCGGGGGTGAGGATCCACACATGCTGCACGCGGGGCCCACACTCTGCTTTAGTTTCTCTGTATTTACATGTGATTGTGTAACCACGCCCACTTCACAGCCTGAAAACCTAGACTCTCCCGATGACTCCTGGCACAAGGTAGGTATGGACCTTTCTTTTAGTGATTTATTTGTCGGTGTGGGGCTTGAACTCTGGGCCTGGGCACTATCCTTCAGCTCTTCAGCTCAAGGCAAGTGCTTTACCACTTGAGCCACAGCGCCACTTCTGGTTTTCTAGTGGTTTATTGGATCTCACGGACTTACCTGCTTGGGTTGGCTTTGAACCGTGATCCTCAGATCTCAGCCTCCTAAGCAGCTAGGATTACAAGTGTGAACCACCAGTGCCAAGCTTTTAGTGATATATTTATGTCGGTCATGGGGCCTGAACTCTGGGCCTGGGCGCTGTCCCTCAGCTCTTCAGCTCAAGGCGAACACTCTACCACTTGAGCCATAGCACCATTCCTGGCCTTTTCCACTTATGTGGTGCTGAGGAATTGAACCCAGGGCCTCATGCATGCAAGGCAAGCGCTCTACCAATGAGCCACCTTCCCAGTCATACCCCTCCCCCCCTTTCTTTTAAATGGCTAGAACAAACTTTTACAAAATCCCTGCTTCTCCTTTTTCTGGGCCTTGAGTCAGCTGAGGACAAGGATGAGAGCATGGATTAGAGATGGATGAGTTGCTCAAGCCTGGCATCCAAGCTGCGTGGGAAGCAGATACCAGGATTGTGGTTTGGGGGTGAGACTAAGTAAAACAAAAATGGAAGGATTCCATTTGAACCAGTGGCCGCCGGGTACAGCCATATGTGCCTGCCGTCTCAGTGAGGGCAGAAGCACAAACTAGGATCATCTCCGCCTAGGCCAACCTATGTGTAAACAAGACCCTAGCTCACAAATGAGGTTGGAAGAGATGGGAGAGTTCTGGAAGGAGTGACATTGATCAAGATGCATTGTACTAAAAAAAACAGACCCGCTAAATCGAAACCCCTTTGTACAATTTTTTTTGTTGGCTTGAACTCTGGGCCTGGGGCTGTCCCTCAGCTCTTCATCTCAAGGCTAATGCTCTGTCACTTGAGCCACAGCACCACTTCCAGTTTATTGGAGAATCGCATAGACTTTACTGCCAGGGCTGGCTTTGCACCGTGATCCTCAGATCTCAGCCTCCTGAGTTGCTAGGATTACAGGCGAGAGCCACCGGCACCCGGCTTTCTTGTGCAACTCTTAAGGGTAATAAAATGGAGCTGGGGGGGGAAGGCTGATGGAGTGGCTCAAGTGATAGGGCACTTGCTAGCAGGTGCATGGCCCTGAGTCAAGGCCCAGTGTTGTGACCCCTACCCCACCACCAGTCAAGGCTCGGATTGGTGAGGTGTGGTTGGCATGTGGGGCACATTCCCTCAACTCAGACATTCCCATCAGTCACGTTATTGCCTGGTGTGGGTGCAACAGGGGACCCCTCCCAGGCTCCTGTGGCTTCTATACCAGCTCCTAACCGTGTCCCCCTGTCCCTTTAAAGTCATAGCTTCAGCCTGCCTGCACATTAGAACCAGCTCTGGGCCACATCCTAGAAAAAACGAGACTCCACTGTGGTGGGGCCTAGGTGCCAAGATCTCGCGCTCTGCCAACAGGAAGCTGCCAGCCAGGAGCCGAGGGAATGTTGCTTTGGCGCCTTCTCTGTCTATCTGGGCGGGTGGCCAGTGGGTGGGCTGCGGGAGGGGCAGCTGTTTGAGGACCCCTGTATTGTGCTGCCTTGGCCCTACTCTGAGGGCCCCCAGGCCTTGTAGGAATTGGAGTGGGGTGGGTGCGATCTTGGGGGCGCAGTGGGTTGCTGGGCTTAGCAGCAGGAAGTTGGCACCCACAGGCTCCAAGGTGACAAGCGTCAGGCTCACCAGGACTGAGCTGGCCGGGGGCAGCTGTGTCACCTTGGGGTTGCTTTAAAACAAGTTTCTGGGCTGCATGTCGACACACACGGAGACCAAAGGTCTGGGGCAAGACGGCAGCTTTTCTTCTTTCAGGGCAAATTAAAAAATCTTGAGTGTTCACTCTCGATCTTGGCTCAGCCAGTGCTGGGATCACAGGCGTGGTGCTACCATGCCAGGCCCCCGATCAGTGTGCTGCCCCTGGAGCCTTAGAACTCCAAGGACACTGGGCAAGGTCGAGGCCCTGGGTTCTCAGAAAAGGAAAAGACCTGGGTCCTAGAGCGTGGCCTAGAAACCATGGGAATTCTGTTCCCATATCCCACAGGCGGGCCCCCGAGTCTCCCGACAATGACACGGGATGGTAGGCTGTAGCTGCTCTGTCAGCTAACGTGTGCACCGGCCCGTGGCTGGGTGGCCAGGTTGGCACTAGGTGCCTGGAGCCTGGAGCTGCTTGGGTGGGGCTGTTGTCACCCTGTCACCTGGTCACCCTGCTTTGAGATAGGGGTCCTCCTAAAGTTGAAGCAGTTGGCCTTGGTCTCCTCACCTGAAAGTGGGGCTAGCAAGGGAAACTGAGGCCCTGGCCAGTGACTATGGTCAACTCAGATGCACCTGCATCCCACTAGGGGTCTCCCCATGTCCTACCTCGCCAGGGGGAAGTGCCCCCGGGGCTCCCATGGGGATGGCCAAGGTCTGGCCTGGGCTCCCCCTTAGGCCAGGAACCCTACGTTCCCTCTCCGTGACTCACTTCCTGTTTGGGCCCAGGAATGTGGGGACAGACACAACTGTGAGCCAGCTCAGGGGAAAGAGCAGGGCCCCGCCTGCCAGAGTCTTAAAGAGACAGTCCTCCCAGGGCTGCTGGTGAATAGCTCCAGAGCTGGGGCAGAATTGGAATCCAAGATATCTGCTGCCAGAGCCGGTAGTCCAGGTGTCCCCTCCATCTCCTCTGACTTCTCTCCGAGCCCTGGGGTTCCTCCCCCAGGGCTCCTCACCCTTCCTCCAGGGTGTCTGGAAGAGTCCTGTACCCCAAGGTTTGCTGGCCTGGTTTAACTTGCCCTGCTGAGTTTTGGTGTCGTTAGAGAATGGTCCAGCTCTCTGGGTCTCACCTTCCTTCCCTGTTCCTAAGCTAAGCCTTCTGGCCAGACCTGGGTTTGGGGCTCCAGGGCAGGGGGTGCTGGGCCCTGCACTGCACAGATGCCCATTCGCTGGCTTTTGGTTTGGCTTCTCCATCCATGAACTCCGGTGGTCTCATTCCTCCACTACCAGGTGGTGGCGTGGTGCGCCCGCCAGGGGACAAACCCAGGGA